CAATAATTAGAAAAATAACTAGGTTTCACTACTACCTATGGCACAACTCGCGTATAATAATAAGATATTAATAACAATAAAACATACACCATACTACGCAAATCACGGATAACATCCACATCTCTTTAATCAAACACTTCCTACGAATGTTAAAGCAAAAGAAGCCATAGATATGGCAGAAAATATGAAATAGATACACGAACAACTCCAAGAGAATCTCAAGAAAGCTTAATAGCAAGCAATTTCCTATATAAACCGAAAACGTAAAACGGCACCTCAGCTAAAGAAGGGGGATAAAGCATATCTACTTACAAAGAATCTTCGTACTTAGAAGAGAAAATATAAGAAACTAGATTATATTAAGGTCGGACCATTTTACATTTCCGAACAAATATCGCCAGTAAACTACAAGTTGGAAATACCACCAGATGCAAAGATACACCCGGTATTCCACGTATCATTATTGGAACTAGTGGATCCAGATACACCAGTTGAAACTACCTTCTATTACCAGCCAGAGGAAGAAATAGAATTCGAAGTGAAACGAATCCTACAAATACGCAATCCATTCATGGACAAAGAAGAATATCTTATTAAATGGAAAGGATACCCACTAAGCGAAAATACATAGGAACCAAAGGGAAACCTCTCTAATTATCAGCAACGCATATAAGAATTCTTCTCAAGAATGTTACCACTCTAGCAGCAAAGATTATAACATACCTAGGATGGTAACGGGCCAGAAGCATCCCAAAACCCATTAGGGAGACCTTTAAAAGCACCCCAGGTGGCAGGAGATAGGGAAGGACCCAAGGGAACCTCTTCTAAGGACAAAAGGAAGCTAGGGGCCTCTTATAATTCGGCTTCCTTAATACTCTGCTCCTCTACAGCAATTACTTCTTCAGTACGCTTATCTAACAAATCTATCTACTAACGTAATTAATCTTCGCGCGTGCGCGTAACACGTAACTCTTCCAACACCTTTTTATAGGCCTTAAACGCAACTTCCTACGTTTCTCTTAATTCTTTTATTTTCATACGCAACTTCTCTTTCTCAGTAAGTAGTCGCTTAAATTCGGATTCCAAAACTCATACATCATATTACTAACCACGACGAACGCATTCGCCACACTTCCTAGAACGAATGTAGACCTTATAGACACGGCTGTATTTAACACAGGTCGAATATTTCTTCACCATGGCTTCGCCAAAAGAGTCAATAAAGTTAGATAAGAGATGACGACGGGAGGTGCTAGAAGCGGGTTGTTTAGGTATAATGCGAGACTAGGCGGACGCTACTTATGACGCGGGGCCCACTCCGGTTATATCTAGGCACGAGACTAGGTCACATAATCTAAGGGCAGATCTGAGGAAGAGAGGGGGTGATGTTAGGATTCGAGATAAACAGTCATCCGGACCACACATATAATTAGGTAAAGTAACCAGGACATAGGTATAACCATAGTCACGTAACTTAATCAGAGTGATTAGTGCGCCAAGCCCACTAATCACACTAAGCAACTCGTATACTAATCACTAAGCACGACTTAATTACCATGATCAGTTCAACTAAGTAACTAATCAGGCTTAGTATATAGGAACGTGGGTATAAACCCTTATACTCGTGTTTAACCTATTTATTAATCTATCGTTTGGATTATACTTAGGCTATATTATTAACTCATTATATCCTCCTCCGATACTATCGTCTCGATAAAACCCCTTCCCTTCCCTCAGTTGTCTTGCCCGAGAACCAACCCTAACCCTTTAGGACTAGCTACCCTTCTGGATTTAACACTTTATAGTTAAGGTAGACGTTGAACGCTAATATATAAGTAAAGGCATTAAAATCGAGCCCTTGGCACCTAATATATAGGCCTAGAATGGAGGAGCTAAGCGCTTAGGGGGTATAATTAAGGAGAAAGCCTACGCAATGCGCCTTAACGCCAACCTACTATAGGACCTTTGGCTAGAAATTACACGAGCTGTAGTGTATCTATATAATTGCACTCCAAATTATAAGAACTAATAGTATATACTATACGAGAAGTTCTTTACTATAGTCTCTCTCATTAATGGGATTATATCTTAACTAAAGAAACCGGCCCTAGGGCATCTTAAAGCGTATAGAAGTAAAGCATTTACTATAACTAATAATACCTAGCGTGGTAAGAGCAAGCTCCAGCGACTAGATCCAAAGGCATGAATTAGATATCTCATTAGCTATTAATCTATAAACATATGGCGCATATGGATCCCATCACTAT